AGCTTCCCTTCTGTTTTTCTTCCTTTGTGGGGTGGAGACGGTCGACTTCCTCGTCCGGATCCTCCTCGGAGTTTCTTTGGACGTCTTCCTGGTGCACGGATGCAACCTCTGGACTGTTTCTGATCGGCCGCATGTTCTTGACAGCGCCGCCTGCTGCTTCTTCTGCGGTGACTTCCCTTAAGGCATCTTGGTAGGACAATTCTTCTTTAGCGAAAAGTCTCTGTTGTAGATCTCGATGCCTTAACCCGCACACGAATCGGTCCCTCAGTCGTTCTTCGAGGTCTTTGAACTCGCAGTGCTTGGCGGCCTTCCGTAATGCGGCGATGTATTCTTTGGCCGACTCACCGGGCCGTTGATCCCTCTGCTCGAAGGTGTGGCGCCATGCGATGACGGACATCTTGGGGTGGAAGTGCTCCTTCAGTAGCTTCTTCAGATCTGCGTAGCTGACAGACTCTACTGGAACAGGTGCTGCAAGGTTTTCTGCGATGTCGAAGGCGTCTTGACCGCAAACACAAAGCAGGGTGGCAGCCTTCAAGCTCTCTTCCCTCACTTGGTTTGCCTTGAAGTAGTTCTCCACCCTGGCTACGTAGGACTCCCACCGCTCTGGATGTGAGACGTCGAACTCCGAAAGCCTTCCGATTTTCGCCATCTTCAGGAGACAGGTCTATCAGCCAGCCTACCCCCGAATGTGCACTGGATTGGCGAGCAGCTGCCGTGTCGACGCCGTTCCGCCGCTCAGGACTCACTTGGGTAAGCTTACACTTCTTCCTTTCCAGGCGGTGTAAGGCATCCCACCCTCGTCGCCAGTGTTGAGTCCTTGGCGCAAAGCAGACACGAGAAGCAGTTGGAGTTCTCAGTTTTCTTTATTCTGCATTCAGCTTACAAGTAGATGGCTTCTTAGCTTCCCAAACGCTTGCAGCCTCTTATATAGGCAACTCCCAGGTAAATGTGTTACTTTTCCCGCGCCAGCACCCGCGCATGCGCACGGCGCTGGCGACAGCCTGTCTGGTCCCGGGCAGCCTTGCACCTGCCCGGGACTGCCTGCAAACGCCCGAGCCGTTTGCAAGGCTCGGGACATAACACTTAACATCCTTAAAAACAAGTGGGATATATTGAGAATTTAACCAATTGGAAGACCCCAGCCCACAACATTATTTGATCATGGGAGAGAGAAGGGTTATCTTGTATTAAAAATACAACTGCACTTCATCTGACAGTGAGCCCAATTTTGTTTACAAAAATAACATTCAGCAAGAATGTTTGAGAAAGGGAAAGTTGTGGTTGTGGAAAGATAGTAACTATGCACCCTACAGGAAAATTAAAGGGATAAATAAGTCCAGTGGTCAGGATGACTTGTTCCATTCAGGAAGGAATGGTCAAGGACAATGTGTCTGCTTGTCTCTGTGACATGTTTGCTAGATTCTTTGCAAATAAAATGACTCATATCCCTCAGATACCTTTTGGATGGAGTCTAAAATGTGATCTGGGATAACATCTTGTGACACCGTCATTCAACCTTCTGGAGACTGAGTAACAGCATAGAACCCTCTCTAACAAGATTTCCACCACATGTGGCTAGATCTATATTCTTCACGGCTTCTTTGGCTGAGTATGAATAGCTAGAACAGGGGTGTCAAACTCGATTTCACTGAGGGCCGCATCAGCATTGTGGTTGCCCTGGGGGGGGTGGAAGGGTGGCCAGAGTGGGTGCAGCCTACTGGGTGGGCGTGGATGGAGTGGGTTTGGTCTACTGGGTGGGCGTGGCCAGTTCTACATCATTCGCGTCAAGTGCCTGTGGGGGCCTGGGCAGGAATGGGACAGATCTGAGGGTCTCTGGCAGAAGGGGGTGGGACCGGGGCAAATGCCAAGGCATGGTCCACCGGGGCAAGTGCCAAGATGGCCACCACAAAATTGTACATTGGCTCCCGGACGGCCTGGGCCAAGGCAGCAGGTGCCGTTCTCTCACTGTTTCCAGGATGGCTTCACAGGCCACATGAAACCACTTCGTGGGCCACATTTGGCCCCCGGGCCTTGTGTTTGACATGTCTGAGCTAGAGTCAAGAGATGGTGTATGCTTCTTTGAGAGAAGGCATACTACTTCAGCCTTGGAAGAAATGGTGATAGGCTGTCTCTTGAAGAAACCCTCTCTTGATCAAGCTACCTTTTGCCAGGTATTTAACCTTCCATTTCTGAGGAAAGTGCTGAAGAAAGTAATTGGCTCCTACATGAAGCCAATTATCTGAATCCTTTCCATTCTGGACTCAGACTCAGGCACAAGACAAAAACAGCATTGGTTGCCCTGATGGGTAACCTGAGAGTGCTTCTCTTTGTCTTATCAGATTACTTACTATCTTAATACTACCGTACTGACCATGGTATCTTATTGAATTGCCTATTTGGGTTGGGAAATGGGGGCACTGTTTTCTTATGGTTCTGTTCCAGTTGCTGTGGAGGTTTCAGTTGTTATTAAAGGGAGATGAGTAGTCAAGCCCAAAATTTAGTCTAAGGTGGACTCCCTCAGAACTCGGCTCTCACTTCATTTCTGTTTAACATGTATATGAAAACACCAAGAAGTTTGGGATAAGATATCATTATGTGGATGATACTCAGTTGCACGTTGCTATCCTTGGCCAAATCAGAAGTGTTTGTTTAATAATCAAATTTATATAGCCATCCATCTTACCAAATGAGACACTGAGCAGCACATAAAAAATGTGAGAATTCTTCCTCAGTTGAGAGGAGGGTTTTGGGTCTGGCTGGACAAAATAAGCCCATAGATTGAATCCCACAAAAACAGAATTATTATTTATTCCCGTACTCCACTAATGATTTTTCTCACCCTGTCTACAGCCTAAAGTTTCTTCTGGGCTCACAGCTCTAGGTGGAGCGGAAGGTGGATGTCAGGCCCAATGGGACCTTTACCCATATTTGTGTGGTTGAAGCCCTACCTGGATCATGAAGCCATTATTATTATTATCACTTATGCTCTCATTGCCAATAAACCTGCAGTACTGTAGTATACTCTGTACGAGGCTGCCTTTGAAGACAACCTGTAAAGTTCAGCTGGTGCAATGTGAGGCAACCAGGATATTTGGAGATGAGAGTTGCCAGTATTATTTAATGCCAATTATGTGCTTAATGCATTGGCCACTAGTAAGTTTCCAGACCCAGTGCTGATTATTACCCACAAAGTTCTATGTAGCTTGATTTCAGGGCAACAGAAGAAATGAGATTGCTTAGGATTGCCATCACAAAAGATCAAAGGGGCATGGACCTAAAGGCAAATCTTCTCCTTGATAAGATGTTGTAAAACAATTTATCTCCAGAGATGCGTCATGTAGTCTCCTTACTGGCTCTCCTTAGAGTTGTTAAACAGTCTTATTTCTCTGAATGTTTGGAGATTGATTTTAGTTGTCTGATTGATGGTTGATTTGTGGCTGCAATCTTTTTAATCTGCTGGTATTGAATTGCATATTTTACCTTGTGAGCCATCCATAGTTGTATGGACTGAATGCTATATAAACCTTTGCAGATAAATCAGTCTATCTATTGTTTGTCTACAACCTAGGATACCTGGGGTAAAACCGTGATATCCATAAATCAATTTCCTGGAAGTATTTGGAAGCAGTTAAATGCATCTTTCCAGTGAGAGTCAGTAGCTTTGGATCGTAACTGTTGTGTGTCACACCAAAACTTATATTGTGTTGGTGCAGGCAGAAAACATTTCCTGGATTTGTCTTTTGAGAAGGATAGTGATTGGAATATCTTGGTGTTTGTTTTGGACTTCAAAGCTATTGGTGGTCTCGAGTTACAATAGAGGTTGAAATCATCAAAGGTCTTCCAGTTCATGAAAGAACCAAGATCATGAAATGTGGTTTCCATGCTATTGAGACTCAGCTGTAGAAAACAAGTGTTGCAACCTTTGGCCTGTTAAAACAGCTACCATTTATTTGGAGTTAAAGATGTAGATTTCTGTGCAAAAATTATTGTTGTTACCCATACTTTTCTTAAATTGTGAATGAGGAAGAGAAACTGTAGTTTTCAGCCAGAACTTTATAGATTTAGACATTAGGCCTGTCATTAAGCAATGATGGATTAGACTTTCTAATAACCCATTAAGTTCTTCTCTGTGAGTTTTGGATCAGAGCTGGTGATAAATTTCTTCAGTAAGCCCTATATATATCTGGTTCTCCTACTGTACTGATAACTTCTGATTGAGAGGTAGAAAAAAATCCCTACAAGAAGAAGAAGAAAAGATAACAGAGGGGGAAAACAACTAGGAGGAATTTCACAAGTAGAATAGAATCATGGGTATTACGGATTTGTCATTTATGCCTGCAGTGGTACCAAGTAGAAGAATCTGTCAGCAGGATACCATTCTTAACTAAAGGAATTTGGTGTTTGCCTCAAGGGTGATGATCATTAAACTGGCTTTGAAGAAATTAGCAGACACATTCAGTGAGTACTGTTGGGAAATACCCAACCATGCAGGGAGGAAGACTCAAGCAAGGGATTAGTTTTGAATTGTGCAACTGCAAGGGATTCAGGACTGACACCCCCTCCCCCAAAGGACTATATCTGTCCCCAAGAGAAGGTAAGCAGTCTGGGAGATTCCTGTATAACAGGCAGAATATAATGAAGTAGGTAGCTTGAACTCTATATATGTGGATCTGGTTGCTTGAACCTGATTCCTGGCCACCATCATTGCTACGTGGAGTCTTGAAGTGCAGAGTGGATAGACTTCTAGATCCCAAATGCTGAAGATGAAAATATCTGTTTCATGTCCTGCTTGTGAACTTCCAGAGATGCTTCTAGAGGTGCTAATAGCCACTTAGGAAACAGGAAGCTTATGTGGAAAGGTATTTATTATGTCGTCATAACTGTCCTTGTCCTCCCTTACAAAAACAACTAAATCCAAAAACATAAATGGAAGGAATCATCCTTAAACTATGCGCTGCTGGAAAATCCTGCCCTCATTTTGTGCTCATCTTTCTCCACAGGTTGAAGGGCAAATGGGCTGATGTCTCCTCTATTCAGCAGCAGAGCTATAAACTGAACTGGGAGTTCCTAAAATGCAAAACATATAAGTGGTTTGGCTGGATTAAAGCTGACATTAAGAACAAACGCGTAAGTTTTGGCACATTGTTGGAATCAATATATTTGTTTCCTCTTTTTTTTTTCCTCCTCTAGCTTTAATTGCAAACTTGATTTTTCCACAGCAAGAACTGTGTCTTTGGAGATTACTAAGATTTATTGGATGTGCTTATTTACACAAGTTTCAGACCCACTAAAAAGCAATTATGCAGGCATGCTGGGAGCAGACCTATATGATTAAGCATACAATTTGAGCAGCATTGTTCACTTGCTTCTGTCCACAAAGTCTAGGAAACTGTCTTTCAGGGTGGCAAAGACTAGCCTGTTCTCTTCCTCTCCACCACCACCTAAATCTGATGAGGGGTACCAGTCTGGGCTGCAAAATTCTGGAAAACTGCTAAAAAGCAGCAAAATAGCATATAAGGCTATAATATAGCACTTGTGCCTTGTAACAGTCATGAACCCCAGAACCGATAACTCTTCTTTCATTACTGCCCTGCATTTATTTTTGTATAATTCTTCTTGGGAAGATCAATGTTTGGCTGTTGCCCTTCTCCCTCTCTTTTTTATACCTGCCCCCTCCAGGTGTACACAGATTTCTATCCTGTCAAGGAGTCTGGAGCTCATCGTTCTAGTTGACCTTGGACATTCAGATTTTCTGTTAGAGGAAAAAGTTTATGAATAGCTATTCTTGCAGCAACATTGTGCTTTTCTGACTTTAAGTAGCGTCATCCTGGGGGAGACAAACAAACATAAGCTATCCTATCTTTTAACCACAAGAGTTTTGAAAAGGCTGTGATGGAATGATCAATATTCTCTGAAATGCTGAGCTCTCGCCTCAGGAGAATGCACTTGATTCAGCAATTTGCTTGGATTGTGTGCTGTAATCTAGCTTTGGCCTCAGAAACATCTCAAAGGAGCTCAGCCATTTTTTTTCCTTTTTACAAGAATATGAATGTATTTTCTACATTGGAATCCCAATAGACATTTAGCCGTGCACTTTGGGATGAACACCCTTCGAATGGTGCGGGAGTATGAATGGATTTCCAGAAAACGTTGCAAACAACAGGAACCATTTGCACTTCAGTTTGAGATGCAGACAACGCAGACTCACCCCCAACAGCCCGCGCCTGTTCTTCAACAGTGAAGGGACACAGGGCAGAAGACATCCTACAGCCAAGAAGGCTCCACACACATTTGCACTACTCAGGTGGCCCTGAGGACACAGGTAAACCTCCAAATGTCTTCAGCGACTCTCTAAAAGAATGCAAATGACCACCTGTCTGCAAGGAGTGTAAATCCTTCCATTCCCCACCATCCGGTCAGAGCTGAAGAAGCTTCTTGGATGAGAAGCAAAACATCTTCAAAGAAAACATCTTCAAAGGAAGTCCAGTTGCCTCCTGAAAAAGCACCTTTGGGACAACCATGACCTGGAAGACTGAGAATCTCCATAGACATGTACATTGGAATGTTATCTCTTCTCTCATTTCTCCCACATATGCTCGATTGATGAGATTAGGCAAAGATGAATTTACCTTTATTTTGACTGATCTATTTGTTAATTTGGTCGCAAGCTTCAGATGACATGAGTATGCGCAATAGGAAAAAAAGTTGTGCTACTCATGCCTGTTGTGTAGCTGTTAAGATGGGTCTTTAGAATGAGAAAGAGGGGAAGGGAGGGGAGGGGAGGGGAAGGGAAGGGGCCAGTTTAATGAAGTGGTTGTAGGTCTAAAAGCCAAGATACTATTAGTTTTAGTTCTGCCTTAGATATGAAATCCAGCTGGGTGAACTTGGGCCAGTCATTCTGCCTCAGCCCAATGTTTCACAGCCCTGGCAGGGTTCTTGTAGGGAAAATAGGAGCCAAAAGGAGTATTATATATGTTTTCTGCCTTGAGTTATTTATAAAAAAAATAATAAAGAGGGGAAAAGGAAGGGAGGAAAGGTAGGAAGGACAATTCAGATGCGTGTTTTTGTACTCTCCAAGCCCTTCTGTTCAGCTCAGTGTCACTATCAGTTTTGCTTTCTTCTCTTTGCTTAAAAAAAAAAATCCCTGAATCAAAAACCTTCTGTTTTTTTCTGTCGTTGCACATTAAGAACTTCACACATTGTGCTGGAAGAAACCATAACATTCCCCATCCATCACTTAATTGGAATTCTTTGATTGTCCATGCAACTTGCTGGTAATTCAGTATGAGAAATTAATAGCTAACTAGTTAAAGAATCATAGCAGGGGAAACACACAATAGTCTTATAATCTTTTTGTAATAGGTGCTTGTTTTTAGACCTCCCAGTTAGACAGGAATGAAAGGGCACCTGACAGACAATGAGAATTTATGCAACAGCATTTTGTTCTCAGATTCACTCAGTGTGATTGTACATTTATTTCCAAGAGTCCGTTGCAAAACTCAGCCCATGGCAAACCTTGTTGGTGCTTTTGCAAAGTAGATTCAGAAAAAAAAGCTTTTCAGTTTTCAACAGTGGCAAAACTCTGAAGCTCCGGTATAGGATGAGGATGAAGATTCGTTCTCCGAGCCTGTGGGTTGGTTTCGAACGTTTCCTTACCAGGCTAGATAACATCTTCAGTGGAGTTTAGGGAATGTCAGTGTCAGTGTTCTTCTGTTTGTAAGGGCTTCAGGTGTGGGTATGTCAAGTGAGGGTCTTGTGATGGGTCAGGTGGGAGTCATTAGTAAGAGGCTTGTGATGGGTCTTGTGATGGGGAGGTTACATCAGGTGAGGGTCATTGGGAGGTGAACTGCTGGTGGGGGTGCTTGCGTGGGTTGGTTGAGGATCGGTGCTGTCTCTGATTGGCTGTGTGGTTGATTTGGATTCTGAGGGGTTGGTAGGCTGGTTGTAAGTCAGTGTGTCTGTTGATGGAATTGCTTGTGAGGTGCCAGGCTTCAACGAACTCTCGGGTGTGGCGGGTGGCAGCGTGGCTGATGATTTTGGTGTTGCTCCAATTGAACTGGTGTTCTTTGATGTTGGCGTGGGTAGAGATTAAGCATTTGGGATCATGGCGTTTGACTGGCAGCCGGTGTTTGTGGATCCTGGTTTTTAATTGATGTAATATTTGTCCCCCATAGAATTGTATTCCCTACGATACCACTGGCTAATTAAGCCTGCTGTTTTGAGATGTGAAATGTTTGATCCAACAACCTGAAGGAAGCCTAGAAAATGGTCAGCTGTCATACTTAATGGCGATAAAGTCATACAAGTATTATCTTCTCCTCTAAGACAGAAGTTGTCATGGAGTCATTCACTGCCCCTTTTCTCTCTCACTTTTTTCCAAAACATTCTGCAGCTGCTTTTTTGAAGGGTGTTGCTTACATTCAATATGGTGAGTGAGTGAGTGTATGCAGTTACTTGCTTTTTTATTGCCTTTTAATTAATAACAAAAAAGAGGAAAAATAGGAGCAAAGCACAAAGGTAAAAGGGATGGAGATGCATGCATTGTCAAAGAGAAGGGGGGGAAAGAAAACATAAAAAGTACTTATCATATGCTTGAGTTATATATTCCATGCCACCCTAAAGTTCTTAGAATCAAACAGATTCTGTGGAAAGGCTACCTTCACCTATCTAGTAAATATCCAGCTAGAAGGAGTTTAATTTCATGTTTCAAGAAGTAGGCAGGGACTCTTCCTAGTTTGCCATTCTGCCCCAAAGAAATTCCTTCTTCTTCTCCTCCTCCTCCTCCTCCTCCTCCTCCCTCCTCCTCCTCCCTCCTCCTCCTCCTCTCCTCCTCCTCCTCCTCCAGTTGGCTCTGCAATATGAACATGGAAATGAAATCTTCAGCCAAGTTTGAAACTACTGAGCCTTCTGGAAGTTGATCTGAAAACACTAAAATCTGAAAATAAGATGCAACCTCATGATTTTCCTCCGGTAGTTTTTACTGAGTCTTCTCCCTACCCAAATTGCCTGTTCAAACTTTCCCCCCAATTCCCAAACAGAGAAATTGAGTGGGTCCTTTTTCTGCAGTTCTCCTGGAGAACAAAAGATTCTTGGACAAATTTGTTAAGAGTTCCTCAGTGATAATACAACAGTAAAAATTGTCTCACCTTGCCTTCCATTGGGATTTAACTGAGTATGGGAAGCCCAGAGGATTGCAGACTCCAGGAAAGATAATTGTAGGATGAATGATAGGAGATACACAATGCTGGGCCACTTTACAATTAAATAAATGTAAGAATATCCCACTCCAGCAATGAAGATTTCATTCCAATTATGTCCTCAAAGTTCTACCACAGACTGCTGTTAATCAAACTGAAATTAGCACTAGAAGTAATAAAATGCAGAATAATTTCTCTGCCTATCACTACTCATCACTTTCTACAGACACAGAGGGAAATAGAAGTGTACAGTTCAGCTTCTGTGATTGACAGGCTTGGTGTAAATACTCCCAAGAGCTTAACATCCTGTACTTGCCTATTTGACTGCATTATGTGCTTTTTGCATATTGTAGAAGCTGCAGTGACTGAATTCCCATGCCCTGCTCTAGATTTGAAAGGGGCCACTGGTGCCTGTACATATATACTATTAATAGAAATGTGGCCTCCTTATCACAGCTTCAAGACAACCCGTCTGGGAAGAGTGGTGTTACGTGCTCCTTGAAAACTGTTGATAAATAGCCTCTTAATCACTAGCCAAAATAGAATTGTTCAGCAACACTAGAGAAGTGTGGAAAGGATACTCACTATTATTTCACTCTGAGCATGCATTTAATGGGTACTGCTTCGGTTCTGGTTCCTTCTTTGGGATTTTACCCAGCCTATCAGCACCCAGCTATCCTTGTCAGTGTTTGGAAGCTAGCAGAATTAGCTCTGGTTTGGTCCTTCCAAGTCAAGTGATGGGCACAGCAGAGATTCCAAGAATGCTCTTTATTGTAGTCAGGTGGAATATCAAAATCTTGAATCCTGTTCAACTTTTCCTCAATCCCATCTTAAAGTGAACAAAATCAAGGCAGGTTCGTTTTGAATTTCCATCTCATATTTCCCTCTGTCTCAGGATTGGAAAATTTATTTTCCAAATCCCTGCTTAAT